GTCGCGCATGTGTGTTTAGAGGCGACGCTATGACGCAGACGTGTAAGAAAAAACATGCGGTTAGAGCTTAAAGATGGAAACGCGAAAACGGCGTTTCAAAATCTTCCCACTCTGAAGGCTGAATAAAAAAAAGATCGTTTACAGACCCCCGAAACGCCGGCTTCGTATGGATGAGAGGCTGGTTTGGTGAAATGTTTGTGCGTTTAGGCCAGGGTTCGGCTTCGTGTGGACGGGGCCTCAGTCTATGTCCGTGTCCTGAGCATTAAACCAGGTCTTCCTGTGTCTGCAGGTCCACATGAAGGAAGTGATGTCGGCCGTGTGGATGGAGGGGTTGGACCAGAGCTACCTGAGAGATCAGGTGCTTCATTTGTTCATGTTGAAATCATGATGTCCATCTTCTGTCGTCTTCCTCTGCAGCTTTGAGTAGATCTACATTCCAGTGTGTCTCACATTCAGACCCAAAGCACCTTTCAGACCGCTGCTGGTGTTAATGGTGTATCTGTCCTGTTGGACGGATCCTGTCCTGTTGGACAGAGGACACTCAGCCTGGACCCTGAAGCCGCCTCTGCTCCTCATTAAATGGACCAGAGTTCAGTTCCTCCTTAAGTCTAAACCTCCTCAACTGTGATTAAAATCAAGCTAATCCAGTTTGGACCCGATGGGCAGAACCTCTGGTGTGAATACCAGGCCCAGTCCGACCCAGCTGCTGGAAGCTTATGTTTACAGTAGCAGTGAACCAGGAAGTGAGGTCACACCTGGTCCACCCTCTGTTGCTTAGCAACGCTGCTGCCAGCATGCTACAGCTCAGTTCTCCTGCTGGTTGGTTAAACTGTAGGTTAGTTAACATGGGGGTTTGTTACCCTGTTGGCTGGTTAACATATGGGTTAGTTCATCTTAGTGTTAGTTAATCAGGGGTTAGTTACCCTATGGGTTGGTTAACTTTTGGTTGGTTAATCTGGGGTTAGTTAACCTGGGGGCAATTTAACCCATGGGTTAGTTTATCTTGGGGGGTTTAGTGGACATATGGGTTAGTTAATCTGAGTGTTAGTTACCCTGTGGGTTGGCTCATCTGGGGTTAGTTAACCTGGGGGTTATTTAACCCATAAGTTAGTTAATCTTGGGGTTAGTTAACACGTGGGTTGGTAAACATGTGGGTTAGTTAATCTGAGTGTTAGTTAAACTGGGAGTTAGTTTCCCTGGAGGTTAGTTACAATGTTACAATGCGGGTTGGTTAACATTTTGGTTGGTTAATCTGAGGTTTAGTTAACCTGGTGCCCAGTTAACCTGTGGGCTATTTAACCCATGGGTTAGTTAATCTTTGGGTTAGTTAACATGGGGGTTTGTTACCCTATGGTTTGGTTAACATGTGGGTTAGGTAATCTGAGTGTTAGTTAAACTGGGGGTTTCCCTGGGGGGTTAGTTACTCCTTGGGCTGGTTAACCTTTTGGTTTGGTTAATGTGGGGGCTAGTTAACCTGTGGGTTATTAAACCCATAGGTTGGTTAATCCAGAGGTAAGTTAAATGACAGGTTAGTTAAGATCTTAGGCCCAGCACAGGGCTTTCCTGTCCAATGGGCTCAAAGAGCTTCGTGTAGCTTTGCAAGAAGTGAAAGAAAAAAAAAAGAACCAAGATGCGCTCGGATCTGGATCAGTTAAGTGGGTCAAAGGCCTTTAGTGGGGCGGGTCCACCCTAAAGTGGGCCTGGAGCCGACCCAGTAGCAGCCACCCCAATTTTCAAATGTCATCTTAAGTTTGTGTTTTGGTTTCCACCTTCAGAACCTCAGTAATTTGAAGGTGGTCTGATGTTCTGATGAGGTCCAAGTGGCGCATGACCTAGAAATCAGAACCTCTGATGATGAAGTCTTTAAAGTTGTTGTTTTTGTCTCCTAATCAGACCATGGGAGAGCCTCTCATGAGGGAGGTGATCAGGGAGTTCTGTCAGAAGGTTATGACCGACCGTCCACCACAAGGCGAGGCCATGCTGACCACCTTCAAACCCAGAGGTTACTCTGAGTGTATTGTGATTGTAGGAGGAGAAGATCGAAGGTTAGTAACTGGTTAGTAACTGGTCAGCTGCTATCAGAACCGTGGGGGGAGGAGAACATACCGGACCACCAGGAGCCTCACAGCAGATTAGACTGTCATCAAAAACTGAAGAAATGCTTCATTTAGACCTTCAGTATTTATTTTATTCAGTCATCCCTGCTGACTTCTCACAGTTTTTAAAGACGCCCCTTTTCCTTCCACTTGACCTCCCAGAAATAACCCTAACCTCGCTAAGGATCCATGATGGCCGTCTGTCTGCTGCAGATATCCTGGCTCGGTCCGGTCTGGGCTCCGTTGGGTCGGGCGGCTGCTGTCCTTTGGGCAGACAGTTTCTTTGTCCAAGCTTTTAATGTGTTCAGAAACCAGAGGGCGTTCCTCTGACCCCACTGTCGTTCTGAACAGAACCAGGAAGCCCACGGCGTCGACCCGCTGCATGTGCCCGCTGTACGACACCCACAGGAGGAAGTGGATCGAACTGAAGGAGATGAGTGTAGCTCGAGTCGGCCACGGGGTGGTCGCTGCTGGTCAGTCCTGAATCAGCTGCGGGTGGGGGGGTGTGTGGGAGCGGAGCGGCGGATTAATGGCGCTCTCTCCGTCTGCCAGAGGGGTTCCTGTTCGTGATGGGGGGGACAGATGAAAACAAAACGGTTCTGGACAGTGGAGAGAAATACGACCCAGACTCCAACTCCTGGAGCCCCATCCCCCCGATGCTGCAGGTACCGGTCGCCTCCTTCTGCCGCCACAAGGTGGCAGCATTGGTTGACTTATATCTGCTCCCATGTTCTGGTAAAAACATGTGTTTGTTTCCTGTTTGGTGTTCACAGCCTCGCCAGAACTTTGGCGTGGTGGAGCTGGACGGGCTGATCTACGTTCTGGGAGGGGAGAGTGAGGATGCAGAGCTGACCTCTGTGGAGGTTTTTGACCCACATTTCAGCACCTGGAAGATGCAGACAAGCATGACGATGATCCGGAAGGTAATGGCAGAACTAGGGTCCGTTCAGGCTAACTGGCTCAGTTCCTCACACTGAGGACTGTGCTTTGACTAGGCCACTTTGAAACCTTTAACCAAAATTTTAAATCCCTTCATTGTCCCAAAATGGGGAAAATTTTGACCCATCCCCTTTGGGAGCAGTGGGCTATGATTTTGCAGCGCCCGGGGAGCAGAGTGGGATTAAGGGTTTTGCTCAGGAACCAAGAGGGGAGGTCTGTGAGGATCAAACCGGATACTTACAGCCTTCTCAGAGGACAAATGTCTCTTCTCAGTGCTCTAACCACTAGGCAAACACTCTCCCTGCAAATTAGCTGAATGCTTTAGGATTTGAATACAGTAGGTTGGTTTCCATGGCAAAATTTTTTACAATTCTCTGTTGAATTTGTGTCCCTTTAATTAAGAACGTGGACAGAACCAGAACGGAGATGTTTACAGGCTTTAGAACGTGAACAGAACCAGAACGGAGATGTTTACAGGCTTTAGAACG